TAAAGCATAGACCCAGTGTAGCCAGAATAACTGCAAACTGTGTACGTGACAGAGCAAAAACTGAAACTAAAAGAAACCAAATCTTGTCTGGAGGCCATCTGTTTTCATGTGGGTACATGTTTTATTTAATCACTGTCTGTGACATTTGTTCTGTTGTCAGTGGAATCATAAAGTAAGTGTCCTCATGAGAACCTAAAACAAACACAGTTCAAACCTGGAAACAGTTGGTGAAGCCTGTTGCTGGTCTGGTCACAGTGACTGAGGACCAAACAGAAACAAGGGCAGTGATTACTTGAACCATGCAATCACACAAAGACAGATGACCTCTGGACAAGAATTTGGTTTCCTTTTAGATTGACTTTGTGTTCCGTCAGTGACACAGCCAGTTAGTAGTTAGTCAACAATACATATAAAAAACAGATCTTATGTGAACTATGAAACTAATCTTGAAGCAGGTTGAGCCCTGTGTGAGATCATTTACATGTGAACATCTAAATTGTATCTTCTTGCAGTAATCAGATTACTTCCTAGTTGAACAGTAGCATATTTACTAATCTTGAACATATTATATCATTTACAGGCTGGATATGACCAGAGATGACCAAACTTTGGTCCAGAAGACAACCCAGTCATGAACAAAAGTTGACATACACTTGTACAGACCATGTATATCATGACCGTCCTGAGCTTCCAACGACTTGCATAACTCAATTTTCTGGGACGGAATCACTCTAACACATGAATCTCTGTCACAAACAGACAATCGTGCATTTTGGTTCTTTCATAGATTCATTAAAGGTCATCTGGAAATATGACTAAACCTGCTGGATCAAAAATATACATACAGCAACTTAAATTATTACTTTTGGTGATGTAGAAAGTTGTGTTGATCAAATTGCCGTAGTTTCGTGGCCTCGTAACTTCTCCTGAGTGATTCTGATTGACTCCAGCTGCTGACTCCTCTGATCCAGTTTAAACAGAACCATCTGATCCACTCATTAGACTCAAACCCTACAGTGGGAAAGTCTGAGGAGCTCAGCAAAGATCTGGAAAAACAAATCACTGACTTGAGCGAGTCCGAAAGTCACTTGGAGCCATTTCAGAGCAGCTTCAGAACCAGAACCATCAGTGTGTCAGCATAAAGTTCATGGTCCAGTTGTGTTACTGCCACCATCAGGAAGGAAACACAAACTAGCAGCTGCTGCTGAGAGATGATTGGTCAGGATGGTCAAGAGTCAACCAGGAACCAGCAGAAAGCAGCTCTGGATGGACCAGAAGCTGCTGGAACACAGCTGTCAGTGTCCACAGGGTTTGACATGGAAATTATTAAATTGTTTATGCCGTATAAAGTCTACATGTAATAGGTTTGATATTTTGCGAGATAAAGTTTGAAAGCATTTCACAACAGAGACTTGCTACAGCTCCTGAGACCCCAAGACAGCTGCATGAAGCACATCTGTCACTGTGGAGAAGGAAAGCTGGACAGGGTTGGACCAGGATTTCTTCATTGGAGATTTAGATGAGTGGGTCTGGAGCAGTGCAGCTTGTTCCTGAGTGGAAAAACTCTCAAAGTAAAGTTTAGGGGTCAGGAGGTCAGACTGTGGTTGTACCAGTACTTAATTTTAGCATATTATTTACTGTTCATGGCGGCTTCAGTTTTCATTTTTCAGAATTCAGCTCATCTATTATCAGAGAATATTTCATTTATTTGTCCAGAATTACAGATTGTGAATCAGTGAGAGAATGAAAAATAACATAAAATGTCACTTTAGCTGAAGTAATATTCCAGGACTGAACTCTCTCCTGTTGTTCACTGTATGTGTTTGTTGACTTTGTTGTTTGGAGCGATTTGTTGCTGTGATGTTTGTGTGTATTTTGATCAGAATTGTTTGTCAAAACAGTTCTGGTATGCATTCACATGTTAAATGTAAATTATAAAGATCTATTTCTAAGTGGTTCGTAATTCACCTTCAGAATGAATGGGTTTTATTTTATACGAAATATTTACATATATTTCAATTCTGTGAGAGATTTATTGCAAGTAAACTCAGTGTGAAATCAAAACATAGAAACAAGCATAAACATGAGAAGCTAACAGACAAAATGTGGATAAAATAATGTAAGCATGAATAAAATGCAGAATGTGAATCCCTAAAGCATAGACCCAGTGTAGCCAGAATAACTGCAAACTGTGTANTCACCAAAGAAGAAGAAAACTGTGTGCAGGCCCTGGAGAAGATGTTTGGACCGAAGGCATCGAACTACATGATCGTCTTGTTCACTCATGGTGACAAGCTGAGTCAGCAGGGCACAACCATACATGAATATCTGCTAACCGGCAATGTGAAGCTCACAGAGCTGCTGAACAGGTGTGGCAACAGGTTTCATGTCTTCAACAACAAGAACATGAACAGAACTCAAGTGGTCAAGCTGATCCAAACGACTGATGAGATGGTGGTAAGAAATGGAGGATTGCACTGCAGCGATGAAATGTTTGAAGAGGCCCAGAAGATTCTGCAGCAGAGTGAAGACAAAGACACAGCAGAGCTGCTGTTTCATAACTTATCCTTCATGGATGAGCTGCTGGAAAGAGTAATCCTGTTTCAATCCACACTGGCTGATGTCTCAATGGATGAAGATGACCAGGACCCATGATCCTTCATTTGTCTCCATGATGTGACTTTAATGTGATGTGAATAATCCCTAAATTCTTTAGTACAGTCACAGTGGGTTCAGACACAAACATCATGATCACTTGTCAATCCATATGTATTATGATAATTACTAAATCATTTATGTCGTATAACATCTACACACATAATAATTTGGATATTTTGCGAGATAAAGGGTTAAAGTATTAACGATTCTACTGTTGCATTTGTTTTTTTGGGGTTTTTTTTGTTTTTGGTATCAATGCCTAATAGCAGATTAAATTATCATAGAGTGAAAAACAGGGTGTGTGTGGATGCCACCCTGAATCTTTGATTTTCAAGCTTATTGTTGAAGTCAAACACAACCAAAATTGTAAGAAACTTTTTTTTGGCGTCTGTATGTGTCAGACATTT